GCCTCAATTGATTACCCGATCTCGGTTCGGTTCACCAAGAAAGATACCGGTCCAAAACCCAGAAACCGACATTGGCTCGGACCGAATTATGACCCCGGTCCGGACTTTTTCTTTTTTACCGGCCCGAAAAGAAAACCCGGACCGGAATTAAAAGTTCGGGCTCATTAACGGGCCTTAAAATCAATAAACCTGCCCGGACAGAGAAAAATCCGAAACAATTAGCTTTAATATAAAAATCAATATAATTTATAAATAAGTCCATGATTATAATCATGATGGATGAAAAAATGACTTAGTATCTTTTAGTGATTACAAATATGTTCAATTTGCTTACCGTAATGATCATGAAAATATATTTATAGTAACATTAGTCACACTTGTATATCCATATGTTTTATTTCGTATTTCGTAATACTTTTAGAAAATCTATAATATTTTTTTTTGCATCGTAAACAAAATATTAAGATAATTATCTTCTTTGGATTTGAAGTGTTGGTGATTCTGGAGACTAATATTTGTGTTTTATTTGATGTTTTTATTTTTAATTAATTTTATTTGAAAATAGGTTTTAAAGTATAAAAGGACAATGGAATGATTTCACGTTCTGGTTTTAACCGACCCAACCCGAACCCGGGCCGAACCTGGGCTACCAAAAACCCAACCCGAACCGAATGTAATGGACCTTCTTCTGGTCCCTAATTTTTATGACCGGAGACCACACGTGTAATTTCCGGGTTTAGCAAAAACTCAACCCAGACGAGACCGATCACACCGCTAGTTGAAGTATATTCATATAAGTATAGTAACGGGGCATTTCATTAAACGAGCGAGCTGATTTAATTGATCAAAGTTGGATCGGGTTACGGTCACTAACGTAATGAGACTTTAAAAGTACCTCTTGATGGTAGTTACGAAAAGAGCTTTATTTTTTTATCGTCAAACCAAACCGCTTTATATTAAAATCATAGGAAAGGAATCGTTACAACAAACTCAAAAAGACCAACCTTGACAACAACTATCCCTAACCAACTAGCACTATCAACCCTATGACTAGACTCAGAGACGATCACCCCTGAAAGAGCAATACGAATCGCTAACCACCAAGCGGGTGTGACACAGCACATATAGATCCTTCCATCGACATAACATGTAGCAGGTTTGTCAATCATAATTATAGACCAAGAACTAAAAACATCAACAAAAAACAGAGCAACATAAAAAATGCAAAAATAAAAAATCATAAAAAATTAAATAACTGATAAATCTTCCAAACCCTAGCATCACGACCACTCCAAGGCGGTGGTTCAGGAGGGGGGCGGATCACTGATCTATTTTCTCCCTTTCTCAGTCCTTCACCCTCTACCCATGTTGATTCGCCAGAAATTAATCCTTCGATCTCCTTCTCAATTACAGGAATGAAACAACATTACTCTAAATCATTCATAGAAGACATTATTATCGTTTCTTGAACCTTGGATTCGTTTCCAAAGGCTGCAGCCGCACTCACGCCTCCTTAAAAAGCACTTTACAAGCCTAGAGAACAAGAGTCACACAAACAATTGGCGGAAAGAAACCCTACGCGACTGCAAAGCCACTAAGGAGACAAAACCCTACGCGACAGCAAAGCCACTAGGGAGACAAAACCCTACGCGACGGCAAAGTCGCTAGAGAGAAATGTTATACTAAAAGAGATTTATTAGTAACTGCAGACGGTAGCTATAATATGTAATACTCCATACTTGGTATATTAAGACGTCGTTTGGCAAAACTAATAGCCCATAGTATAGGGACATCTTTTGCAATTACTTGACTATTGCTTATTATAAATACATTACTAGCACATCGTATTAGGGTGAGTAATTATTCCACACAAAATAATATTTTCATATGGTATCAGTTTCCTAGGTTATACCTAGAGCTTCCGCGTCGTCTCTCTCCTTTGCCATGACGATCGCCGACTCCCAGGAGGGCTCCTCTACTGCCGCCAAGCCTTCTTCTTCTACAGAGGTAGGCATGGCTATGCCTTCTCCTTCTATGGTGCCCAATACAAAAATGGTGCAGCCCACTTCTTTGGCCCAGGTTTTCTCGCCGCCTTCTTCTACTTTCGAAGAATTCCCCGCCACACCAGGACTGCGCATCCGGTCAGGCCTTCAAGCTCTGTCGCCGCTGAATTCCTATCGCCTCTTCAACATGCCGGAACCCTTCACATGGAATCCCACTGCACCGTCCTCTGCTGCCTCTATACCGCAACATACAACATCAGCGTCCACGACCACTTTTCCAGGCTTTGTTGGTCCCTCTTCCTCGCAGGCAGTCTATTTTGGCCCAACGATCTCTGTTCAGCCGGACATTGCCCTTTTATAGCCACAACAGTCAACACAATTACCAAGTTTTTCATCTCATCCCACTTATTTGGCATCATTGGTATCTCACATGGCGTTTTCCACGCCTAATGTTACAAATATTGTGACTACTCGGTTGAATGTGGTTGAGGATTATCTCCCGTGGCGTACTCAATTCGAGTCTTTTCTCGTTTCCCATAGTCTATTTGGGTTTCTAGATGACTCTGTTTTGGCACCGCCACAATTTACTCTTGACATTAATTGGCGGGAGATGCCCAATCCGGAATATCGTCACTGGTTAAAAATTGACCAAACCATTAGATCATTGTTATTTGCTACCTTATCCCGTGATATTGTTGGGAATAACAGGATCGTGCTAATATGAGAGAAAAACACTTCTATTACTTTCAAGAATAGAAAGAAGAGACATACAAGCTCTAATTAAAAAACTCTCAAAACAACACCTCACATATCTCTCAAGGATATTCACAACTCTTCTTGGTTGTGCTATGATGATCTATTCTAATTTACTTGATGATAGAAAGACTCTCCAAGCTCTCTATTTATAGCACCAAAACTAGGTACTATGAAGGTGGGAGGAAGGTGGGATTAAACATGAGGAAACTTTGAGGAAGCTCCCTTTGTCATTCTTGCACATGGATGAAGCTTCATGGTTGTTGCTTGCACATGGAGGAAGCTTCATGGTTGTTGCAATTGGATTCTTCAATTTGCTTGTACTTGGATATGTCCTGGAAATTGAATTCTTCAATTCTCCCCTTCCAGGCATATTCAAAACAAGCATCCCGACTATGTCTCTGCATAGCTCTAGCTTATCTCGTGTCACCACCTTTGTCAGCATGTCTGATGGATACTCCTTTGTATTGATCTTCACTAGTCTCAACAGTTGTTGATCAATCGTCTCCCGTATCCAATGATACCGAATATCAATATGCTTTGTACGAGAATGGTACATAGAGTTCTTGCTCAAGTCTAGAGCACTCTGACTGTCACAATGTACCTGGTACTCTTTCTAGTGGATCCCAAGTTCTTGGAGAAAACGCTTTAGCCACAACATTTCCTTACCTGCTTCAGCGGCAGCAATGTATTCTGCTTCTGTTGTAGATAAAGCGACACACTTCTGCAATCTTGATTGCCAAGAAACAGCTCCCCCTGCAAAAGTGTAGATATATCCTGTAGTAGACTTTCTACTATCAATATCTCCGGCCATATCAGCATCTGTGTAGCCTTCCAAGTTTGGATCAGCTCCTCCGTAACAAAGACATAACTTCGTGGTACCTTTCAAGTATCTGAGAATCCATTTGACTGCCTCCCAATGCTCCTTCCCAGGGTTAGAGAGAAAACGACTTACTGTACCCACTGCTTGTGCGATGTCTGGCCTTGTGCATACCATGGCGTACATCAAACTCCCAACTGCCGAAGAATATGGAACTGCTAACATCTCCCCGATCTCTTCCTTGGATGTAGGGCATGTTCTTTTGCTCAACTTGAAGTGATTCGCAAGTGGAACACTAACTGGTTTGGCATCATTCATGTTGAATCTCTCAAGTACTCGTTCAATGTACTTCTCTTGAGAAAGCCATAACTTGCGATTCTTCCTGTCTCGAGTGATCTGCATCCCAAGAATCTGTTGAGCCGGTCCTAAGTCTTTCATATCAAAAGACTTAGAGAGTTCTTTCTTCAGCTGGTTTATCATCACTGCATCTTTCCCAACGATCAACATGTCGTCTACATATAGTAGAAGAGCAATGAAAGTACCATCTGGGAGTTTCTTGATGTATACACACTCATCTGCAGTAGTCTTCTTGTAGCCTTGACTCTTCATGCATGAGTCAAACTTCTTATTCCACTGCCTTGGTGCCTGCTTCAAGCCATACAAACTTTTAGATAACTTACACACAAAGTTATCATTTGAGCTCTCAAAACCTTCCGGCTGCTGCATATAGATTTCTTCTTTCAAATCTCCGTGAAGAAATGCTGTCTTCACATCCATCTGTTCAAGCTCCAAGTTCATACTTGCTGCCAAGCCAAGTATAACTCGGATTGAGGTCATCTTGACAACTGGTGCAAAGATCTCATCAAAGTCAATTCCCTTCTTCTGTTGGAATCCTTTGACAACCAACCGAGCTTTGTGTTTCACCACTTGTCCGCTTGCATCCTTCTTCAGCTTGAACACCCACTTGTTCCTCAGTGCCTTCTTCCCTTTAGGAAGTTCTACAATCTCATAAGTTTGATTTTTCTGCAGAGATTCCAACTCATCCTGCATTGCTATTAGCCATTTTTCTTTATCCTTATGAGACACAGCTTCTTGAAAACTCTCCGGTTCTCCATCTTCAGTTAACAAAAGATATTCAGATGATGTGTACCTTTTCGATGGTATATGGCCTCGTTCAGATCTACGAACAGTTGGAACCATCTCAGAAGTGCTACCATCATCTGTGCCTGGCGAGGTGGGTTGTGACTCCCCTTGCTCTGTAGTCTCTTCTGTCTCCTCATCCTCTTCTGCTTCTGAGTTGTTTTCATGCACTTCGTCATTGTTTCTCAAGAACAATTCAGGTGCTTCATTTGAAACTTGAACATCCTCATTTGACTTCCGAGACATTGTGGATTTTTCAATGTCTTCTATTGTCAAATCTTCATGGAACACAACGTCCCTGCTTCTGAACACCTTTTTCTCCTTAGGATCCCATAACCTGTATCCAAACTCTTCATTTCCATAGCCAACGAAAATGCATGGGATAGTTCTTGCATCGAGCTTCTGTCTGAGCTCTTTGGATACATGTGCATATGATGAACAACCAAAAACTCTAAGATGTGAGTATGTAGGATCCTTACCTGTCCATAGCCTCTCTGGAACTTCAAAGTTCAGTGGTACTGAAGGTGATCGGTTGATAAGATAGCATGCGGTGTTGACTGCTTCTCCCCAAAATGACTTTGGAAGTTTAGCCACATTTAGCATGCTCCGGACACGCTCCATGATAGTCCGGTTCATTCTTTCAGCAACACCGTTGTGCTGAGGGGTGCGTGGTACTGACTTCTCATGTCGAATGCCATATTCTCTGCAATATGCATCGAACGCCTTGGATGTATATTCGCCTCCATTATCAGATCGGAGACATTTCAACTTCTTTCCTGTTTCACGTTCCACCAAGACGTGAAATGTCTTGAAGCTCTCAAAGACCCGATCCTTCGTCGTCAGGAAATACACCCACACTTTCCGAGAAGCATCATCGATAAAAGTCAGAAAATATCTGCTTCCACCGATTGATTCTACCTCGAAAGGACCACAGACATCGGAGTGTACCAAACTTAACAACTCCGTTCTTTTAGTTGAAGTAGAACTAAATGATACTCTATGTTGCTTACCAAATAGACAATGACTGCAAGGACCCGGTGCAGAATTCTTGTCAATGTTGATAAGGTTCTTCTTCATCAAGGTAGTCAACCCTTTCTCACCGATGTGGCCGAGCCTCAGGTGCCACAGATTCTGAGAAGTCTCCTCTGCAATGTTGAGGCTATCCATACAAATCCTCAAATGGGTTTTGTACAATTTGCCACAAACATGTCCTCGAGCGATTGTCAAAACGCCCTTTGACATTTTCCAGGTGCCCCTGTTAAAGTGGTTGTCATACCCCTGTTCGTCAAGACATACCACAGATAGGAGATTGAGCCGAAGGTCTGGGACATGTCTGACATCCTTCAAAGTGATTGTGCTCCCAGTACTCGTCTTTATTTGTATATCACCAATTCCAGCTATTCCAGAGGAACTGGAATTGCCCATCTTTACTGCTCTAAAGTCTCCAGCTTTGTAAGTTGTGAAGTAGTACCTGTGGGGAGTAACATGGTAGGATGCTGCAGTATCTACCACCCATTCAGTGTCCTCTCTTGAGACGTGCAGGCATGTTTCATCATTGCTAGTACAATACGCCACATCACCTGAGATTGTGATGAGCGCTTCACCACCCTTGTTCTTCGCTTGAGAATTGCTCTTGCCTCGCTCCTCTAGCAATTTGTAGCAATTCTTCTTCATGTGACCCTCTATACCGCAATGGTGGCAGGTATAAGAAGGTTTCCGGCCATCTGATGATCTCCCCCAACTTTTGCCTCTGCTTTGCCACTTTCCTCTACTGTTTCTTTGTTGCTTTCCTTGTGATCTTCCTCGATTCTCCGTCACAAGAGCATGAGTCTGATCTGTGCTCATGTCTTTCCTCCTTGCCTCCTCATTGAACAATGCATCCTTGACCACAGACATGGTAAGTTTGCCATCTGGGGCTGAGTTGCTGAGAGTAACAACTAGTGTCTCCCAACTATCAGGAAGGGAACTAAGAAGTAGTAGAGATTGCATTTCATCTCCAAGTGGCATTTCTACACAAGATAGTTGATTTACCAGACTCTGAAACTGACTAGTATGTTCGGCAACAGAAGTTCCACTTTTGAGCTTCATATTGACAAGACGCCTCATCAGTAGGGCCTTATTCCTGGCGGTCTTGGCCTGGTACATATCTTCTAGCTTCTTCCAAAGGGCATAAGCGTCGGTTTCTTGTGCAACGTGGTGGAAGACACTATGATCAATCCATTGACGGATTTGACCAATAGTTTTTCTATTTATTTTCTTCCACTCTATTGATTTGGGTGGGTCAGGATTAATACCTTTCATCTCTATTGGATCAAAAAGGTCTTTACAGCTAAGGAAATCTTCCATCCGAGGTTTCCATAGCGTGTAGTTGGTAGCCGTGAGCATAATCATAGCTCCGGAAGATGAAGTTGACTCGTCAAAGGTCATTTTCACCTTCTAAATAATTTTAATATTCTGTTTGAGAAAAATCGGAGCAGAATTTTGAAAAACGGGCAGCACCGTTGCGTCCGGAACGGCCAAAAATGGTGGGTAGACACTTTCGGGGTCAAAATACAATTTTCGAAAAATTATAGGTGGAAATTATAATTTTCCAAAAATTGAGGGACCTAACTGCAATTTTTCAAAATTTAAAAACTGACCGGTGACGTGGCAGATGACGTGGCAGATGACGTGGCGCTAACTGGGCGTTGACGTGGCAGCTGACTGGGCGCTGGTGGAAGATGGCAGTGAGCTGATGATGTAGCGGATGTGCACTTGTGGCGCTGATGTGTCGCTGACACAGCTCTGACTGGCTGATGACGTCAGCTGTCTTCAACCTCTGGCCTGCGTGCAGAATGACGTCAGGGATGACGTCAGCGAGCTCCTCACCACCGGCGCGTAGGCGGCGCGTGAGGTGGCTTCCGGTGGCCTAAAAATTACCAAAAAATACCAGTTTTCTCGCCTCGACGAGACGAATCTAACGGTGTATTCAGATTGGAATTCCGAGCAAAACCAAAAAACACGAATTTTCAGACAGTAGAATTTTATCCGAAAATTCTGGGGAAAAAAAATACCAAAAGCTCAGCCAGGCTCTGATACCACTTGTTGGGAATAACAGGATCGTGCTAATATGAGAGAAAAACACTTCTATTACTTTCAAGAATAGAAAGAAGAGACATACAAGCTCTAATTAAAAAACTCTCAAAACAACACCTCACATATCTCTCAAGGATATTCACAACTCTTCTTGGTTGTGCTATGATGATCTATTCTAATTTACTTGATGATAGAAAGACTCTCCAAGCTCTCTATTTATAGCACCAAAACTAGGTACTATGAAGGTGGGAGGAAGGTGGGATTAAACATGAGGAAACTTTGAGGAATCTCCCTTTGTCATTCTTGCACATGGATGAAGCTTCATGGTTGTTGCTTGCACATGGAGGAAGCTTCATGGTTGTTGCAATTGAATTCTTCAGATATCCTTATGGAGGTCCATGATCTAAAGGTTTCTGCCAAAATATGGGAATGACTTGAAACTAGATTTATGTCTGCTTGTTTGGCTCGATCTTTGGAACTTAAGAGGCTCCTATCGCATATTAAGAAGAAAGAAAACCAGTCAATGGACCAATACTTGCTAGAAATTAAGGTTTTAGACGACTCGTTAAATATGATCAATTCTCCAGTAAGTAATAAGGAATTAATTGAATATATCATTCTTGGTTTGGGTCCCGAATATGAATCGCCGATTACTGTGGTATCTTATTTCCATGGAGATGCAACTCTCTCTGCTTTACGCCCCATTCTGCTTGCTCAAGAGCAGCGAAATATATATCTACGTGCTCAAGAACCACCGGCAGCAAATCAGGCCTTTGCTGCTGCTCGGTGGTCCACCTGAGGATCGTGGAGGTGCATCCCGAGGTCAGGGCGGCAGACATCATGCGAACCATGGCCAACGTGGAGGTCGGGGTCGGGGTCGTGGACAGCGCGGGCATGGCAAAGGACATGGTGGTAATTTTCAGCAACCTCAGGGACAATATGGTCAGTATTTTCAGCCTCCTCATGCCCCTCAGCAGTACGGCTAGCAGCCATATGGTGCCCCGCGTGGTCCTTTTCAGCTGGGAAATTCAGGTACACTATTAAGTAATGTTTGGTCTGGTTATTCATACTTAAATCACTTATATGCTTGTGGTACTAACAACGTGAGTACAGGTTTCCCGTCTGTGGATAACTTCCCTCCACCTCAAGTTGTTTGCCAAATATGTTTCTCCCCAGGTCACTCTGCACTTACGTGTCCCCGTTTTACTGGTTCTTCTACTCTGGCTCTAGCTGTTGTTCCCTCAGGTGAATCCAATGCTTCTGTGTGGTATCCTGACTTAGGTGCCTCTGCTCACATGACTCCTAACGAAGGTATTCTCTCTTGTAAATCACCTTACACTGGCTCTAAAAATGTGCAAGTTGCTAATGATACTAATCTGCCCATATCTCATGTTGGCAAAGTTACATTAAATACTCCTGGTCACCCGCTAACTTTAAACTCTGTTTATCATGTCCCACATTTAAAATATAATTTGCTATCTATTCATAAATTATGTGCGGATAATGATTGTATGGTGATTTTTAATAAAAATTCTTTTTTATTAAGGACAATCAGACGGGGGTGCATCTACTTCAGGCTTCCAATAAAGACAATCTTTATCCATTTCATGCTCTTCAGACTACCCTTGTTTTTTGACCTACTTGGCACAAACGTTTGGGGCATTGTGGTGATATAGTTTTACATACACTACGGAAAAACCATTTTATTTCTGCTTCTAGTAATTTTTCTCATAATTGTGTTTCATGTAAGTTGGGTAAATCCCACAGACTCTCGTTTCAGGATGTTATTCATTCATGTGTTGCTCCTTTAGAACTTATACATTCAGATGTTTGGCAATCGCATGTTTTATCTAATCTTGGTTATAAAGATTATGTTTCTTTTATTGATGATTTCTCTCGTTATACTTGGATTTATCCCATGCGTCGTAAATCTGAGGTTTTTCATCATTTTTGCAATTTTCAAACTCTAGTTGAAAATCTAGAGTAAAATCATTTTTTGAAATCGGGTATTTTATTTCAAAAATCTTGCCCCGATACACCAGCCCAAAACGGAGTGGCTGAACGCAAACATCGTCATCTCCGTCATTTTTTGATGCTTTATATACTGCTACTTATATTGTCAATCGCTTACGCACATCGCTTTTGAAAATTTTAACTCCTTTTGAAAAGCATTTTAATAAATCTCCAGATTTTAATTTTCTTCGCGTTTTTGGATGCAGTTGTTTTCCTAATTTCATTGTCAAGTGTTCAAATAAACTCTCACCTCGCTCCATTCATTGTGTCTTTTTGGGTTATGCTCCGGGTTATAAAGATTACCGTTGTTTAGAACTGTGTTTGGTCGAGTTTATATTAGCCGGGATAATCAATTTCATGAGAATGATTTTCCCTACTCCCGTCTTCAGCCTCCCCCACCCACCCAGGTCCTTTATCTCCCAGTTTAACATCTTCTTGGGTTCTTACCTCGGCTATATCTACACCTGCACTACCAAGTCCCCCTTTAGACCAAAATACTTCTCCAGTTTCCCAGCCCAGCCCCAATCAGTCTTCATTGCCGGTCTCCCCAGCACACACTCCTCCTCCAAATCCCAAATCCCTGGGGAACACTACTGCCACTCCTATCAATCCGCTGCCCATTCCTCCTTCATCCCCGGACAGTTTGTCTGAAACTACACCAATGACCAGAGACCCCACTTCTCCTGTCCTTAAGCAGCAAGCTATCTCGCATGTCCCCTCATCTTTACCTACCAATATAGCAAACTCGTGCTAAAGATGGAATTTTTAAACTAAAAATTATTTTTAATTTAAGTGTTGTTTCACCCCCGGATGATCCCACCTGTTTTTCTCAGGCACAAAAACATTTTATTTGGCGACAGTCATGGCTGATAAATTTAATGCTTTACTTGCTAATAAGACTTGAGATTTAGTTCCTTATTGTTGGGACAATATGTAGCTTTGATAACAGAAAGAAACAGGAACAAGATTACCAAACAAATAATATAGGCTGAGTCGAGGATTGCTCTTTCTTTAAGACGTTTCGAGAGTTGCTCAGAATTGTGCTGCAACTGTTAGGCCCGACACCCCCAGGATAAAACAGCCGCTTAGAAACTTGAAAGACAGTACACTCGCACTAGTGTATTGCTCTATAGACACCCTTAACAATACTGCTCAATTTTCTTTTGAATATAGCCTAGAACAAAACAGAGAGAAAAACCAGAGAGCTGGGGTGAGGGAGTGGGGAGAGAGATTAGGCAACGTAAATAAAATCTGTAACCGAAAGGCTGAGATCAAATTTGAAAGTCTGAAATTGTAACTAGAGATAAAATTTAAGGCTATTAATATGAATTAACTGTATAATAAATTGCAGCAAATTTTCTCAAAAATAATAACGATCTTACTTTCAATTTGCTCAACCCTTTTTTTTAAAGTATCTTTATTTTAAAACATTCACTGGGAGCTAAAATCCCAACAATCCCCCACTTGAATTTTTAAAATAGTTTGACTAAGCAGTATTCAATGAATAGTAAGATCTAGCTTAAACTAAGGTGTCTTTCAACTTGAACCTTAGCGTAGTGAATACAATTTAGATTATACTAGAGTGACTCATAGTCTTGAACTCTATCTCTAACAAAGTACCACGCCATAATCTCTTCAGGGTGTTTACTACATAAGCCCGTACATATTATATGACCATACACGTCTATCCCAGTAGGTGAACGCTCTAGAAATTATTACTCCATACTATTTATTTTATTTTTGCCTTATTAATTCCATAGAGAGCGGCCCCACTCCCACATTCACCTCGGTGAGTCTATCAAGAGTACTCCTGTAGGAAGGTACTCCACTCCAAGAGAAGTATAGATCTCATTAAGAGATTCTATTAACTCATCCTTATATCCCTTCAGGAAATCATGCTTCTCAAAGGCATGTTCTATTTCATTACACCTTATAACTTGTTATTACCCTTTGAACCTAAGTCTTGGGATCTCTAGTCATTTAGGTTGGGTTACCGTTATGTGTGTCTCTCACTTCAATAGGCATAAGTCCCATCTTAATAGATGTAGTATAGACTTTCTCTCTCGCTAGTCCTTTCGTCAAAGGATCAGCTAAGTTATTCTCAGTGCGCACATGATCCACTCTAACAGCTCCTGTGGAGAGGAGTTCTCTCACAGTGTTGTGCTTACGACGTATCTGTCGTCTCTTTCCGTTGTAGTAACGGTTCTGAATTTTAGCAATAGCCGCGGTACTATCACAATGGATCAACACTACTGGTATAGGTTTATCCCAAAGAGGAATTTCAGCCAATAAGCTTCTAAGCCAACCAGCTTCTTCACTAGCAGTGGCCAGTGCTATCATCTCAGAATCCATTGTAGATTATGCCAAGATAGTCTGTTTATTAGACTTCCATGAAACAGCCCCTCCAGCAATACTGAAGATATATCCATTAGTTGCCTTGGAGTCATCAGAAAGTGTATTCCAATCAGCATCACTATAGCCTTCAAGAACTGTTTGGAATTTTTTATAATTCAAACCAAGGGTCATAGTTCTCTTTAAATATCCCATGACTCGTTCTATAGCATTCCAATGCTCCATACTAGGTCTACTAGTAAATCTGCATAACAATCCAACGAGATAGGCTATGTTGGGTCTAGTACAATCAGTGGCATAACGAAGACTGTCAATGATGCTAGCATATTCATATTGTCGTACTCCATCACTAGTGTTCTTAAATAACTTAACACTAGGATTGTAAGGTGTACATGCAGGTTTACAGTCAAAGTAGTTATATTTCTTTAGAATTTTCTCGATGTAGTGAGACTGATCTAAAGAAAGTCCATTTTCTGTTCTCGTTACTTGAATCCCCAAAATAACTTTAGCTTCCCCCAGATTTTTCATATCAAAGTTCTCATTAAGCATAAGTTTCACTTTATCAATGACATGTAAGTTCGATCCAAAGATTAACAAATCATCTACATACAAACATATAATAGTGCACATGCTATTCTCATATTTGTAATATATACACTTGTCACTCTCATTGACCTTAAAGCCATTTGAGATAACAAGGTCATCAAATTTAGCATGCCACTATTTAGGTGATTGTTTCAATCCATATAATGATTTGTCTAACTTACATACTTTATGCTCTTGTCCCGGTATAATAAAGCCTTCAGGTTG